TGTTCGGTTTGTTTTTTAAAACTTGGCTAAATTTTATGAATGCAGGACTTTCGAAATTCGCAAGCATAAATATAGCATATCTTCGCTATCGCTCTTTTTACAACTGCACAACGTAAAACGAATAGCAGGCAGAAGTAAAGTAGACGTACTATTTTCCGCACCAGATACACTGTCAAGATTATGCAGGACCATAAACTCTAGGGAGGCCAAGGGTTTTGTGACTAAGCATCGAAATTGTTTTGTCAATTGTGCCGTATAGGAGTAATATAGTCTCACTCTTTGTCCTGTGGCCGGCGCTATGAGGGCCAGACGGACCGCTGTCTCAATGAAAGCCTAAGAGAGCACTCCTACAATGTGGCGTCCGCGGTATCTGGCCACCTTGGCATTCATTGCCGCGATTGCGGCAGTATTTTAGAGTTCCAGCGATGTCAGATAGTGAAACGCCATCATGAACAATTGACACGTGGAATTATCGAGGCGTTACAGATATCTAGCTTAGCCACTGAAGTGTGTCAGCCGCCCGCTTGTCGCCCTATCTGGAAGGAAAATCGATATTTTTTTTGTGCGTGACCAATGTAGAATGTGCGCGTGCTATACGGTTTTTCGTGGTGATGATGTATATCGTTCAGATATGGCTGTCTTATCTTTTCGTGCTTTTCTTTTTGTACTTGACCAAGTAATTATTTATTGTGTGGTTGCGACCCATTTCTCTTTATACTCCTAGACTTACGAAAAGATTTTGATACTGTGCACACAATGTTCTACTACAAAAGCTTAAAACTTGGGGGGTTCGAGGACTCGCATTAAAACTAATCAAACCCTTTCTTACAAATCGCTACCAATATGTTTATATCAATAATCAATCATCAATTAAAACGAAAATACAAAAAAAAGGTGCTCCTCAGGGTTTCATCCTGGGGCCTCTGTTGTTCATTGTATATATTAATGATATAACAAATATACCAGGCTCTCCTCAGTTAATAATGAATGGGGATACAAATATATTTTTCGCCGGCTTTACTAAAGAGTGTTTAGAAAATTCAGCAAATCCCTACCTCTGGAACCTATCACATTGGCTACAAACCAATCGCTTAAGTTTCAATAGAAGTAAAACTACGTATATATACTTTTAGGCCAGTTAATAAACGAGATTGCAGCTCTATCAATGTAACGTTTGGTGGCACCTTATTAGAGCACGTAAGAGATCAAACATTTTTGGGTATGTGGTTTCCCGAGGACCTATCGTGGAATACTTATGTTAATAAACTTAAAACTGAATTATCTCGAGTTACTGGTAGCTTATTTAAAAAAGAAAACTTAGTGCCTACCTGGTTAAAACAAACGTTTTACTATTCCTTATTTTACTCTAAAATTAGTTACGGTATTTTGGTCTGCAGAACCACAACAGCTTTGAAATACTATAAAATAATTATAACACAAAAGAGAACACTACGTATATGTTAAAACTATAGAGGAGGTAAAAGAAACTTTAGCACACAGCCACTCTTTGTAAAATATAATATGCTCAAGGCAGACCAAGTTTACTACTTTAAAATTTTACAGTGCATACATAAGAACGAACTGTACACAACCATAACAAATAGCATGAGCGCATATACGCTTCAAGATTTAGAGATAAAAATGCACACCATAAGAACAAATCATGTCCGACAAACTTTACCTTTTCAAATAATTAAATTTTTAAACAATACAGATATGGAGATAGATTAGAATAGAACTTTCCATGAATTCAGAGGTAAATGCAGAACGCTTCTGGTTGGTGGTGCTATTATATTTTAATTCTGAATTTTTTCTTTTCTTTCCTGGTTTCTGGTATCCCAAGAGTATTCGTGATTTTTATATGTATGAATTTAGACCATTCTTTTTTCTTTGTCAAAGTTCTATACTAGTGACCCTCCTGAATGAATATTTAATGACGTTATTAATGTTGTGTGTGACGCTTGGGGTTTTATTATTTCAGCCGATTGCCGTTGTATAATCTAATCTTCACTCTTGTTTGATGCCTGGTTGCTTTGTTGTTATTGACGGTGTGTTTTGCCTGGCTTGTACGATCCTGTGATTGCGGCTTCCAGAGTGTGTATATTAGTTCTGCTTTGTTGCTTTGCGTTTGTATATGTCGCTCCTACGTGATCTGCCACGGCTGAACTGTTGGGGGGACAGAGGCTCCGTCAGGCACTTGTGCTTTAACTCTGCCCCCCCCCCCCCCCCCCCCCCCATGCGGAACATTCTATAAAATGCCTGCGCGTCTACTTACCCGCAATACACTCAAGGTCCAATCTCCGCGATGTACGTAATCAGTTCAGCGAATGATTATGCGAAACATCCATTTAGACCTGAAAATGAAGTCTGGGCTGTGGTATTACGCAATGCAAAATGCTTGCATTGCGTAATGCCACAGCGCAGACTGAATTTCAAGGTCTAAACAGATGTTCCGCTTCACCATTCGCTGAGCTGATTTCGTAGAACGCAGAGATTGGGTCTTCGAGTGTTTTGCGGGTAAGTAGATGCGTAGGCATTTCTTAGAGTGAAATGTATTCGTAAAACAAATAAAGAGAAAAACTAGTTGAGAGTCAGCGCTGTGTTTGTGTCCTACTTCTCGTCCCTCGCCTGTTGCCCTGTTTTAAACCTTTCAATTGTGAAATAGTGCTCTAAATAGTCAGACTTATGACTCAAGGAATCATACTGTACAGAATCGCACCCAACAAACCCTGCATTTGGGAAAGCGATATTTCTCGAAAAATATCATACCCACGGCCTTTTCTTGAATAGTCCGCAAGTATCCAAACACCAGGTTCTCAAGTTCGGTCGAAACCGAACTTGAGAAAACAATTCGGTGGGCAATTTTCGACAATTTTCAGCGATTACCGGAAACGAGGAACCCGTGTTATGCTTCTTCTGTTCTGAGGACAATAGAACATTGTGCCTCACTTCAGTGGATTAAACGAGAGTATGCGAGTTCCATTTCAGCTGAGAGAGTATTGCTAACGTGCAGCACTACAGCCGTGTTGCAGTCGTTAAAAAGTGATATTTGCGAGAAAATCCCCCATTGACCCTCTCAGCATGTTCTATTTTCTAATCTAGGCGGTTCCTGAGGGAAAATATGCTGTAATGTTTGGAGGTGGGCTAGTCGGTGATGCATTGTAAACATAGAAAATATGCTCTTTATAGGAATTTATTAACTTGATATCACGACAATAAAGATCACAATAGAGTGCTTTAGTAAGCCATTCGGATACCTCCGATACCTTCAACGCATGCGAAAAGGTGGCGGCGAAGTACCTTAACTTGTTATTAAAGTCATCGGAAAGATCTACTAAAACTCTTTATTGTCGTTAAAAGATTTACTGTTTGCAGCTGCAGATATGTGTTGTCCGTAAAGATTATATTTCCTTTTCTCAGTGGTTGAAGTACTTTGTAAACGTCCCTGCATTCGCCTTGTGTTTTTTGTTTTGTTTTAGACTAAGCCATCATTCATATTCATTCGTAAATAACGCCGTAAGCAATGTTTCCCATCAAGGTTACGGAATACGTTTAGCACTTTCTCTCTCTCACGGCAACGTCTGGATATCTTGACGCGAGAGGTCGCGCCGTCAGTATAGCCATGAACTTCTCGAGGCGATGTATGGCAAAACAACCACTCCTCACAAAGCGGAGGAGCAAACAGGTCCTCCTCGTTTCATAATGAAAATGACTGGATCTAATTGTTCGTTGCCCTCAATTTTCACGGACGGATGAAGCCGACATGCGTCGTAAACAAACCGCGGCGCTGGCTACGTATATGGTGGCTACGCTCATCAGTCTTACACGGATGATATCAGCGAAGTAACTCCTCGCACATGGAACCTGACGTGCGTTGTTAATGCTATTCCAGGATCGTAGCGGCGAACTTTGAGGAGTGCCGCAGCGGTTTAGGTCCGGGGAGGGGGCTATGAGGTAGGCAGAAATAGAATATTTTTAATAACCTCTTCAGCGCAAGTGAGCTCCAATAGGATCTGGCTGACGAAGAATGATCGCTGGGAAGAGATATGACTGGAGTCGGTTCTCTGCTTTGGCGTTCGTGTTGACCAGTTAATCCGTCGCCCTTTTGCTCCCGGAATTTGCTCTCCGGCATGAGGCAGAGTAGATGGTTATTTCAGAGGCCGTCTATATATTTTAAGAACGAGATGAAGCGCCGTCGCCCAAGACGCTTCTCAGATAAGCCTGCTACTTTACGTGCACAGTCTATACAGATAATGTATATTTAGTGGGATCCGAGATTAATACCTAAAGTTCCGAGTGTACGAAATCAATAATGAAGAGATTAAAGGGACTAACACCAACTGCAGTTTTGAAACAAATCCGTGCCGTTTGATGAAAGCATTATTTCCACTAACCTTTATTAATTAGAAATGAGCTGTTTCTGCAACCAGCTCTTTAATTCTCAATTTGCTTAAACCCCAGAGTAGTTTACACTCGTCTTATTCAGCGGTATCAGGATTATTGAAATGATATTCGTATGGGACCATTGACAATTCGTAGTAACTCCTGTATCCTTTATTTTTTTGCATGCCTCTTGATCAGTCGCTATTTTCACTGTATTCCTTTCTGTTTGGTAATCCATTGTTACTTTATTAGGTCTTGATACATGGTGCACGTATCTGTACTAGCGAGAGTCTTTTGCGCGTGACATTATTTCTAAAGCTGACATCAGAGGACATTACGCCGAACAATTGCAAATGTGAGTACAGTAATTCCTCGTACTTCCGTCCTTTGGATGCAACACCAAAACTTGTAGCAGCAAAAGCCCGTAATGATGTGATGACCTCCGCCAAACCTAATAAAGGTTTATCTGGTTCCCCCTCTGCTTTCATCATCAATTGAGCGAGTTCTTGTGGATGAAACGGGTAATCAATTAAATTACCACGCAAAGGAAGAGATGGTAACTTTAAAAAAAAGATAGCAACATATATATTGAACACAAATACAACAGGGAAACATAATACACTAACACCAGACATTTATAAGCAGAGAAGAGACACAGTGATACATAAAACTATCATGATCAGTAAATGTGGCAGCAGCGGGCGCCTACATAAACAATCTCACACAAACTTGGCAGTCTCCTTCCGTAGGTTCATCCAAATAACTTAACAGACTGAAACAAGCGCAGGTTCTAGCGTCCGTATTTACCGTGGCCACCGAGGTACGCTTGCCCTGCCCCAACGAATTCGATTGGTACCACACGGCGAAAAACGGGAGCAGGAACCGCGTACGTTGCCACAGGAGTCGCTGCAGCGTGCGTCGCCACTTGAGCCGGCCCGAAGTTGGCGAACTTCACCGCCGCTGGAGCCACAGCGGTGTACGAAACCGGCGCAGCTGCTGCCGCGATTTGATGGCCAACGCTGGAGACACGGAATGGGCCTCCATAGGCGACTCTTCCATAAGGAGCGGAGGCATAGGCCAGTCTCGTCACTGGAGCGGCGGCGTAGGTGATCCGTGGGGCAGCAGCAGCATAGACGATTTGAGGAGCGTTGTATGTTACCTGGGGCGCAGCGACGGCTACTCTGGCGACTGGGGCAGTAGCGTAATTGAGTTGTGAGGCAGCGTAGGTTACCTCAGGTGCCCTGTAAGTGACCTGGGGAGCAGCGACGGCGACCCTCGGGATTGGGGCGGCGGCGTAAGTGACCGGGGCGGGCACGGCTACCGGGGAAGCGTCGGCGAGCGATTCGGCAGGGGCGGCTGCCACATCTACTGGAGCAGCTGAGAGGCTGACTCCGTCTAAGGTAACGTCGCCGTGTGGCCCCGTGGGACCCATAGGCGCGTTTATGCCGACGCCGGATGGACTCGATGGAGCGGTGCCTGGTTCGTTGGTCGCCACGGAGGCCCGGAAGCCGTGAATGTCGGCCACGTAGTGGACGACACGAACTCGGCCGTCGGCGTCGGTCAGGCCATACGAGCCTACGGTGTTCCCGTTGGCGTCGCCGGACTCCTTGCGCCACGAGCCGCCGCTGGTGTGTTTTTCGTCGTATCCGAAGTTGTAATTTCCCAACACCTGCGAAGCAGATATAGCAGTAAGGCATCTCATTTTTGTGCGAAGAGGATATTTGCGGCACAACGAGAACTGGACAGAAAATGGAAAATTAACGATCATCCCCCCCCCCCCCCCCCCCCCCATTTTGTTAGAGGTATTGGCGACTTTTTGGTACGAAAGGATGGCTTTAAAAATCAATGTAACGTTGGAAACTTCTTCACGGGTCTTGTCGATAACTTTAAAAGGTTCAATGAGATGTTGAGGATTCAGAACTCAATGCTAATAGGTGTATGTTTTATTCCAACAGCAACCTTTCACTGTTAAGGAAGCAAGGACGCAGCGGCTTCCTGTCGCCCAGTCATACAACGACGCAGAGGCCTGAAGAGTATTATGCATTCACTGACACCTCAAGAAACGGATGACTTAGAGATTCCGGAGCGTCTTTCTTTGACTCACCAGCTAACGGGATTCTGGCATCAGCCGGTAAGCACGCCAAAGAACAAATTACGATGCAAGAGGCATGAGCTAACATTAAAAACGAGCCTGTTGGTAAGTAGTTAAACATTCGGAAAAAACAAACCCGAAAGGCGACGAAACCCCGACGTGTTTGGTCCCCTTTCGGGTTTATTGTTTCCGGATGTTAAGACGTTTGAGCATATGCGTCCCTTAAGCTTTGCTATATAACAACGCTGGTATATAGGTAAATTATTAAGTATAATGAATACGTTTATTTCTATAGAGACGACAATCCTCAATGTTGTCTACCGGGACTGTTTTAGCTCACAGATCCAGATCATTGATGGCAATCATATTAAGAACAACGTTTATTTATGTTTACATTGTTCATGCATCGCCTTATAGACATCATTTAGAGAAATATGGCAAATAAACAGACATACGTCATCGTTTTTTAATTCACGGAACTGCGTAATTTAATTAACAGGATGACATCCGTCTAAACAAATGTTATTTTACGTAGGACTTATTTATCTCTTCTTTTTTTTTTGGGGGGGGGGGGGGGGCGGGGGTCACAGGACACCTTAATAATGAACGCTCTGCAGTTTCTGTGACCTTTTCTCATCAGTGAAAAAAAAAATTAAGTATCTTGAGCTAAAAAAGGACATAGATGTAAACCACAAATTTTATGGGTTTTTCTTTTACGGGGGAATATAATTAACCTCGAGGGTCACCTAAAGTAAACCAACCGCTCTAATTTTCAGGCTGTTCTGTACGCTCAAATCAATTGATGATGTGCCATAGTTTATATCATTTGTTCGTGATCCAGCGAAATAGTCTGAACTATGGCGGTTCGGGCTCCCTAGTTTCTTTGGCGTAGGAAACGTGATTTATGCTAAAAGTTAAAAAAAGTTAAATCAGGTACGTAATTAGCCGCAACAGTTATCTCAAGCTTGAGACTCGCGAGATACATTGGGGATAAGACAAAGAAAGCAACGAATGTGAAACCAAATATTTTCATTCGGCCCAAATAAAAAGAATTTTTCTCTGCACTCTTCTGCTTACATATTACGCGTAAAATGACTCCTTCCAAAAGGCACGGTAAGAAAAACCTTGCACATCACTTTGATTTTTAATAAATTAGCTACATAATTTTTAATATTTTTAGTTTCGCATTTTCGAAAATTCGTGGCCATATAAAGATTCGGACGCATCACTAAGCATCGTTCATTGTTATTCGCTCGTAACTTATGAAAATAAACGTAAACAGCAACTTCGTGATGTAACGTAAATCCAATTTTTATAGAAAAGGATCGAAAGAGAATAACACATTCTCATTAAAGAACATTTTAATCTACTTCATATTAACAAAAAAGAAGATACAGCCAAAAAGTTGAAGTAGTGAAAAAAGTTGTTATTGACCTTTGTAGAGTTTGAAAAAATGTATTGGAAACGCGAGTATCTCTTTGATACACGTTGAAAGGTATTTTAAAGTCAGAGTCTCTCTCAAGGGATTTGTTTATTATCGCTGATCATTCTGCACAATGTACGACATTCTGTATCGAGCTAAGTTTGTTTTCTTAATTAGACGCAGAATGCTTTTTTTTTATCGCTGTATCTTACGAGCAGCCACTTAGGAAAGAGCGTTTCAGCAATCTTTACATTTGAAGGTATATGTGGTTTGACCACTACGCTGGAGCAGTCATTCACTCTTCGTGTGCCTGTTCATAAAAGAGGAAGACAAAGTATAGTTCGGTGAGGCAAAAATATAAGCGTTGTACTTACACCGTGCGAGCAGCCTTGAAGTTCAGCTATACAAGTTACCAAACAAAACGTCATCTATCACTCTAATTTGGAGGCATTTCAAAATAAATTTTACTTACATCTTGAGTTCGATGTTGTGTGGATACGCCAGACTCAGCCACTGTATTCTCTACGACACCAGCGCTTGCTCCAGCAGCCAGAGCAAGTATAATAAAAACCTTCAAATAGATAAAATACATTGTTCATGATTAACAGAAAACTTGAAGACATTTCATAATGATTTATGGTTTCAAACTGCAATGTTTTACAATCTATGAATAAAAAATGCGACGCAGGAAATGAAGGACATTGAAAATATTAAAAAAAGTGTTTTAGGGTGTTTTAATTCAAATTAATACGCTTACTCCTATGTAAAATAAACATAGTTGCTATTCACCTCCCTGGGTATTGGGCGAAAATAAGAAAACATTCAGATCTGAATTACTTAGTAATTACATAATATATTCTTTCAATTTGAATATTGTTGCGGTAAGTAATATATTGTCCAAACAAAGCACCATGTGCTGTAAATACCGGGTGTTTTTTTTTTCTCTTATTCTTGCAGATTTGTTTTTTAAAAAAAAAGCCATAAAAGCTGCCCTTATCCGGTTTGTGCGAGTAAGTTATATGCCCAGGGGGACATTATGTGGGTAGCTAATCTTTCCGATAAGTCGGCTAATTAATTCAAATTCACTAATGAACGTTTTAATTAATGAAAATAGGCATATGGTTCCAATACAAAATTTGCTCAGCGTCGTCTGAAACCCCTAAATCAGTAATTTTTTCGAAAGGCTTTGAGCGCGTGAGAAGCGCGGTAGTGCGCTGAAGTTACCACTCGCGGAGCAGGTACAAGGCTGATGCTAGATAGGAGACGGGAAAATTGCGCGAGCCTTACCGAAACCGCTATTCTCGTACCTGCTCCACGAGTGGTAACTTTAGTCCACTACTACGATTCTCACGCGCTGAAAGTCTTTCTGAAAATGACTGATTTAGGGGTTTTGGATGACTCTCAGCAATTTTCTAATTAGAACCATATGTCTATTGTCACTACCTAAAAAGTTAATTATTGAATTTTAATTAATCATCCGACTTATTGCAAAGATTGGCCACCCGCATAATGTCCCCCTGGGCGTAAAACTCACTCGCACAAACCGCATAAGTGAAGCTCTCATGGCTTTCTTTTAAAAACAAATCTGCAAATATAAAATAAAAAAACACCCCTTATACGTATATTGAACGTAATTAAGAATAACTACAATTAAGATAATTTCTGAATGATTGTTAAGGTGCTTAAAATAATAAGGATAAATAAAATAAAAAATATAAATAATAACTTGCCATAAAAAAAAAACAGACTTACTGAAGCTTCAATACAAATTCAGAGCTCGTCATTTACCGCATACACGCAGGGCTGCGCTTCATGTAAGGTGTTGGAAGCAGCAAAGGGCGCAGGAAGAGGATTTCAAATATTTATTTTAATTAGTGTTGTGATAAAAACAAAACAAATGTCGACTGTAATATGAGGCAAGCACAAGTGCCAAATGAAAATATTTCTTACGTAGCCATGAGCGAATGCATAAAATCAAAATTATTTTGTTTTTCGCGCTATAAGGAAACCCAGAGGCCCCCTTTCTAGTGTAAAGTACAAACAGTTGATGTTTAAAATGTGTGACTAAATTTTAAAATACCGTTTAAATGAATAGGGAAGCATAGTTTAATGAACGCAATATTCTAAACATAATAATTTATTGCTAATCTTTTTGCGCGCATTTTAGAAAGGCAAGAACCCATCGAAGTGCATTTTATACCAATTCGTATGAATTTGAGTAAATCAGACATTTTAATAATGCAACTAGACATCGAATTAGCACGGTTTATGTTCTCATGACACGCAGGTTAAATTAAAAAAAGGCTCGAAAATAAGATCACTAAAAAACGAAGCTTTCTCCAAGTAAAAAAATACAGTACATTTTATATTGCTGGATTTTTTAAATTCTGGAGAATTTTAAATTTAATTTGATCTTTTAGAGAACCGGCCTTTATGGTTGCCTATCTTCACGGGACAACCCCCTGGACATCAAGACAACTTCTCGCTTGAAAGGTATGTATAAAATTCCGACCTCACCTTCATTCCCAGCGTCTTTCTCGAACAGCACCGTTATTCCAGTGAAGACGAAACAGCGCCAATCTTCCGGGGGTACTCCGCGTTGCGTCCCATTTATATACAGCCACCAATCATGTGACGTCACCAACTGCCCCTTCCTGCCTTGATCCACGCGGCTCAGGTTGAACTCTTCCGTTTGCTCCACCGCCTTTGCCAGACACTGACCGCGGGAAAGTAGATAACCATATAAAAGATAGCTAACGAGAAAAAGAGGGAGGAAGAGAAAGAGGAGGAGAGAGCGAGAAGACGTAGAAAAGTTTAGCGGAGATCTTTGACGTGCCGACCGTTCGAACCCTAAATCGGTCCGAAGATCGAGGTCACCTCTAGCGAGCGACACATGGACACGCAGTTGGAAGGCCACGCCCCCCTCTTCCTACTACGGAGTTACGAGTGGGAAGTGCTGTTTAAGATAACCAAGCAATCCACCGGTTTGAGTCCCTTTTATACTTCTTTTTTACTTGCTCTTTGGCTTGTGTGACAATAGCCGAGACATCTGTTTAATGTCCGCTTTGGAGTTTCTCCTTACCGTATATGTCCGTTACACAACATAACACTAGAACAGCAGTTTTACACATTTTTAGCTTTTCTATACTTGTGAAAAGTTTGATCGGTTTTCTTTTGTAAGTGAAGCTCGCGGTTTTCTTAGGTAAGTGAAGAAGGCGAAGTATCAAAGAAGTCAACAGACCTGCATGATCGTCCTGAATAACAAAAATTAAAATTCAATAACCAAGACTACGTACAAAGGACAAACAAAGATTGGGAATGAGTCCTGACAAGAGACTTGCCTTTGTTATCAAAACTACACAAAACACAATTACATCAAAGGTTTGGCGTGATGACTGATTCTGCGACGAATAATGTAAATAAGCGGAGTGGGGATTACTCTTCCACTATCGTGTTTTTAAAGAGAAAGTGGTATCATGCGAACACTTGGCAAGTCAATATATGTGTTCTTTAGAGAGGGGAAACATTTAAGGCATCCATATTAATTCTGTGGCACATAAATCGAGTTTCGAGAGCAATGCAGATGTTAACAGCCGAACTTCACAAGCTTAGTAAAAGAAGAAAGGGAATTATGAAGTTACGATAGGGATTTAATTAATTATTCAACTGATACGAATTGAACACTTCTTAATACCCTAAAGTATGCTGGTGTCATGTACGGTTGCATTGTCATAGAATCGTTTCGATTTTTTTAATGAATAAGAATTCGCCACTTTTGGTGAGTGAGTATACTATCGCTATCACGTTGAGCGTATAGCCAACGCGGGGTAGCGCCGCGCACACAGATACTGACTCGTCGCAGATATTGAGCTCACTAGCTCTCCGGCCAATTAAAGGCACACTGACTGCGCTCGTTGTACGCAACGTCGGAGTATAACAGAGTCTTTCTGTGCGCTTTAAGACCGCTTTAAGTGACCCTTCGTATTATGTGGTATGAATTCGACGTTGTTTCATTAATTTGGGCGCAACGCTGATTACTTGGCTGATTACCTGTTTCGTCACTTCTTTGTTTGCTGATAGTGAGCTGACCCTTAGGTCCTTCCACGACTGACGCTAATGCGGTCAAAGATATGTCAGCCGCTAGCACGGCGGTATTTTACGCGCGTATGCAGGTATAAAGAAGCGGGAGAGGATTATAAAAAGAAAAAGGTCGGTCGGGAAGGCTCAAAGTAAATTCAGCTGTCTCCTTGAGGGGGCTTGGGGGGGGGGGGGGGGGGGGGGGGTGGAGATTGCTTACAATTATTTTTAAAGACTTCTTATGTCAGGCATCCAAAGCCTTTCAGTGCGGCTTAGTGGTTTGCTGGCAGCTCTGCATTTTCTGTCGATATGTATCTCGGATGCTGCTGTTATTAATCTTAATGCGCAAAGAGCCTCCATCATGCTGGGTATGTATATACATTGAATAAAATTAAAATATGTTAGAATCTCTTTTAAACATAAGAGGAACAAAGATCTTATCGATGACAAGCACAAACACGAGGTAAGCTTAATTCTGAGCAACACTTTATCTAAAAATAAATTCTGAAAATTGAAAATTTGAAACGCCTGTGCTGTTTTGGACTTGGAGAGAAAGTTACCGCACCCAGGATTAATATTACTCTTTGATTTATAAGAATATATGTTGTTAGGGTTGCACGGCTATTAAAAAGGGACATTAATAGGGGATTAAATATTTAAGCAATTAGTTTAATTTGAAGGCAGATCGAATATTTAAAAGAATAAGTAAATTACAAACATACAACATGCATTCAGTGAACCAAACTACTGGGATTTGTGTAGCCTTGGCGATCCAAAGAACTGTACTTTTTCAAGAAGCCGATGTGTTTTATTTAACTTTTTTTTGTCTACAATGAAATGTCATGGGCTGATTGCAAAGTAATGAATATGATAAGAATTAATAAAATATATGGACCTTTTTGTGACGTGAAGTTGCCACCTACAAAAGGCCTGGTGAAGTAATTAAGGAGGTTCAGAGATGTTACTCTACCGGACACACCTATTTCATCAAAGTATGAAAACGCGTCGGAAGTGGTGACACTTTGAATGTTGCTTCTGTTGGGCGGGCGCATTTCACGCTAGGTGGTCCTAATTGTTCTATATAATGTAGCATATTTTCTTTAAAAAAAGTTTGTGGATGAGTAGCGCATTGAGTCTCAGAGGAGCAGACACGTCTCCAGTGAATATAAGTTTTTGATGAAGAGTTTGAGAGTGACGAAGGTGATGGCCGTGAAACCCCGTAGGAGAATCCACTTTTGCGCAATTAATCGGCTAATAAATAACTTTGAGATTAATGCATTTATCGATGAGGCGGTGGTTTTTAAATTTATTTCACATCTCTAACGTAAAGAAAGGTAACGCTCCAATATCAAAACTAAATCACGAAAAACATTTTCAAGAGCATTGTGTATAAATATAGCATGGAACCGTTGGTTACTGTTTTCACACTGAATTATTGAGTAAAAAACAGGTATACTTTCCTGATGTCGCATGGCATAGTAGTAGTGCATAAAATTATATGATGGTAATAAATAAGTACCTAGTACGAGAATGGTCTTTAGGCTGTTATGTCCATTGAATTCCCTTAATTAAAGCTAAAACGAAATAAAGTTTTAATTTCTCCTTTTTATAATGACAGGTTTTTTGTTCCTTTACATTTCATACTCATGTTGGTTTGAACACACCATAAAATGTTTACACAAACATCCAATTTACTGAATCGCATACACTTGGATTTGGTTTAAGACTTGAAAGTAATAGAGTGTCATTTTACGTAAGGCCGTGTTTATAAAAATTTAGCATTGATTATACATTGTTGCGTGCACCACGACGCAAATTTTTACGTCTGTACTTTATGATTTAACCTGTTTGAAGGCCTTCTCACAGAGAAACTGAAGGTATTGGTATAATATATTATTTATTGCGGGAGGGCATTCGTTTATTGGCCTTTACACACTACATATTATGCAAAGATAATCTATACTATTGCAAATTTTAAGTCCTTACACTAGCAACAAATTACATCCTCCTAGCTAACAGTAACCATTGCCGGGCGTCAAAAATAGATACGCATCCGAATTTTCATCCAAGTCACTCAAGTGCATGCTAAGCGTGGCTTATGAAACCCGCACATCTCGAGCAGCGTTTCAGACATTTGACTTTGACGTTTTATGCTCACTCGTGCGACGACGGTGCGCTTAAATAGTTGAGCCTCTATTTCAAATCACCACCGAATTCGTCATCATTTCAAATATATTTATGAAATCAATGGAAACTAAGTAGCAAAAAGCTTTCATTTCGAAATGGCCAGAATGTGCGTATGCGACTGTAGTACTTCGTTTCCCTTCAAGTCCCACTCCAGTCGACGCTACAATCAAATAGGGCCGATCGGGCGGCCCCAAAAGTGCTTCGTCACGGCGGTCTTTGTCTTTATGGATGTGCTATGCTGAGCAAAAATCTATAGGCACAAAAGAAAAGGTGAGAGGATCGCGTCGGTCCCATTCTCTGTGAGTGATTTGTTCAGTCGGCTACAGCAAACACACAAAGGCGACGTGCGCCGTGACGATGCACTTTCCCCGTTAGCTTGATCGTCTGTATCGGGTCGTAGAGTAAGTAGGCGGCTGTCAGACATAGGCACGCGTTCACAATAAGCGGCGGCGCTCAGATCGCGACGCGCAGCCAACGCCGTCTAAAGCCGCCACGTTTCATCCATATTCAAATCGGCGGCCGAGAGAGCGGGCGCTGTGAATCTTGCAGGTTCCGCAACGACCTTTACCCACTCTTCCGACCAGAAGCGGCAGCCTCCTTTTTGTTTTCAAAGCGCGCTCTCACGCAGTGACCGCCCGCCAAAACGAAACGGGAACTGCTGATTGCTCGCTTCGATAGCATATCCTCTCGGAGGCTGAGCTTTCTTTTCGCGATACATCGTTCCGCATGTATCGTGGTCTTCGAGCGGACGTCTCTGTGCGACTCGCTCTGCGGGCAGGACCGCGATAGCAGTCGAGGTTACCGTCCTCGCGGCAGTTGTGCTCTTAGCCACGAGACATGCGAGTTTAGCCGGGGAATTAAATCGAAATCGGAAGCTGGTTTTTATTCGCTTTAGACGCAAACTTCGATACGCGTGAAGGGCAGAAACCTTAACACGCCGTTTTACTTTTAGTGCGTTTTGTTGCGATCGTTTTTCGCTTTTTTAAACAAAGTATATACGCATGTTTTTTTAAGAGAGTCACTGATCTGCGTGACTAGTAGCGATCTTTTGTTTATTTCACTGAAGGGAGAAACTTGCATTGCAGTCTGCGCTACCATATGAGTACACCAGACGTCGTTATTTTGTGTCGTTTTTTTGTTGTCTGCTTTGACAACATAAATGTTTTGACGGCAAGTAGTAAGTCACCGAGTATTTTCATTTCATAAAAGAAGGAAAATTGTTGTAGCACAAGGATTAATTCGATGTTCAAGAATGAGTTGAGGACGATTTGGTCTTTAAGATTTCGAGTGCGTAGCACAAACTTAAAACGCTACAGAGAAGTAAGGCTCTTGTGTCTACCCGAGTTCTATACCCAAAAGAATATAAAGTGAACTCGTCCGTTTGCCTCTTTGCCGATCTATTTCGGCGCATTTTTGAGTTGAAGTGAAATTTTCGACGACGAATATAAGTTTAATGAAGGTTATTGATTTTATGCGATTAATTGTTTTGTGCAAGTCACTGTATAAAACTGATGTCGGTGCCTTTTTCTAGATTGCTTAAAGGCCGACGAGCAGACACGAGATTCTGCAAGGCAGAGGATCCCCCTCACCCTAAGGCAGGAGGAAACAGGCAACGCTGGACAGGGTAGAAGGGGAAAAGGAGGAAGTGGGAGAAAAGTGGAAAGCTCAAACTGGTCGTCGGTCT